CCCCGGGATAAATCTTGCATCCATGATGGGAATGTGGAAGATAATTTTCTTCCCACTACCATCTGGGCAGTCTTTGATAAGACGGGGCATGGGAAGTTCGGGAATCAGCCAAAAGGCGAAGCGATTATTAATTGCCGGTCGAATAAGAGAAACTGTGGCAGAGGGCATGGGTTGTTCTGTTCCAGGAATACTCACAAAGGCAGAAGAGCCATCTGGCAAAGACCAGACAATTACCCATATATTATTGCGAACGAGAGTGCAAAATAGTGGAAGGATTCTCCTATCCACATCATGAATCTATCCTCGTGCTAACGCAACTGGCGTCCTTCGCCGCGTAGTTTTGCACCCTGGCGTCCCTACATCCACAAACTGGCCCTGAGAGTCTTCCGGGAGAGGGACAGATGACGGCGATTTCTCCCCTTCGCCGAGAAGATCCGCCGCTGAATCATAGTTCAGTCTGCGCTGCTTACCCGCCAGGGATGATCTCGGCCGACCTTGGATATTACACGTTGCATCTTGGACAGCGCTCGACGAAGCATGCGCCAACCTACCAGTCTCCTCCACTTGTATGCCAGCTGGGGGGTTTTGACGGGGAGTGTCCTCGATTCCCCCAGGACCGGAACCCATTGGGAAACCTAATTGACCCGGGAAGCCGGAGGCATTACCCGTATTTCCCGCTGCTCCAAGAGGGCCAGTCGTCATATCTCCTCCATTGCGAGGGACAACTGAGGACTGCTGAAGAAACTGTTGAAGCCAGGGAGGGAGAGGCTGTGAGAGCCATGGCATAGCGAATTGTGGGGGAGGAGCTGGGAGAGGAACTTGCTGCGAGGCAACTCCGGGAGAGAACACCGGGTTGAGCTGTGCATTTTGGAAGGGATAAAGCCCCTGTTGAAGATCCGAGATCGGGGCTCCGAAACTACCCCCATACATAGCCTGGGACGTATTCGGCCCCATCGGACCTTCATATCGTGGGGAAGCTGAAAATGTTTGAGAAGAGCCTGGCACCTGACCTAGAACCTGGTGTGACATCAGATCTTGCCGTTGCCTGTTTGATCTTCTGCACTGAGCTTCCTCGTGAAAAAAAGCTCTGCACCTGCGACAGCGTGGCGTATCCGAACTCACCAAATTGACCGATAATTCATCACGTTCTGCTGTGATGACTGTTATTTTATCTTTCATGTTAGTCCTTGATTCAGGGTCCAAGTCAAATTTGACATTAATTAACGAAGGCTTTTGGCGGTCAGCTTCCACCGGATGAGTTCTTACTACAGGGCCAATGGCCTTCCTGATTTGGGCTTCCAAATAGATGAACGAATCGAGCGGATCTTGAACAACGACTACCCAAAAGGTAGACTGTTCCTCCTGTCTCCTCTGCTCTCGTAATTGAGCCTTGGTTAACCAGGGTTTAAATTCGAGTCTATACTCCACAGAGCCTATGACAATAGAATCCTGTCCTTTCGTAACCAACCAAGAGKCAATATCCCTGCTCTTTGCAACATAGGAAACGACGTTAGGACTTTCAATCTTGATTCTCCCTCGGCTGAAAGACTCYGCTGCTAARCTCCCATCCTRGAGTTTAGCATCTTCGTACGCCCTAACGATGTCATCCTTGACCCTTCTAGGGAGAAAGCGAGCGCCCTCCCGAAAAATTATAGTAACCACTCGCTCCTTCAGCCARTTAATCTTAATTCTGTCAATCGACKCATTGACCSTGAAACGGACTTCYYGTCSTTCAATTTCCATTTCCCCGGGGTCRATGTCARAGGGGCAAATCCCTTCCTCATAGCAMAATYGCATGAGYTCACGCGCATGACTTTCATCTTCCCTATCTAAACCCGGAGCTGGGGGCGGGGAGCGAGGACCACGCTCACTCTGATCATTAGGGGCAACGTGACTATCCACTTCCATGATGCTCGCAGAGGGACCAGTATGAAAGGCACGAATAGAGAGAAACAGCACAGAAACAACGATATGAACACARCGTACGCCAGCCGGAGGGCTGTTGGACCAGAAGAAGAGCAAACCCAATTAGCTAATTACCTAATCTCAGCAAATAATCTCTCCACGTGCTAAAAGGCATGTTAATATCAATACGCAAAGCAAGGGCGTCACATACTAATAGAATAGTGAAGGTTCCATACCGGCTGGGCAAACTGACCCCGACCGTCTCACCTTAACAAGTTGTGGGACGGGCCGCTCGAACATGGCGGGCGGGGAGGGAACAAGAAGCCTGCATGCCATCATGGTGGTGAACAGCAAGGCGCCCAGTCTTCGACGTTACCGAGGATGACGCGCGCCGACCGAAACGCTATAGCGCCGGTGGGGGCGCGCCGGCGGAACCCCGCGTTGGCCTGCTCATCGCGAAAAACGTTTCCGCCGAGGGTAGCTTTCTCAACTCCGTGGCCCTTGCCCATGCCGCCTTCCCTCCATTGCGGGAGTCCATTCGAAGTCCTTATACAAAAAAAAAATTCATTCAAATCACCCGGTAGGACATCAACATTTCGAAATACTTCCAACCGTGGGATCGCAGCCCTGTCGACGGCCACATCCTGTCGAACGTTGTCGCTCGTCGTAGAAAACTCCGCGTTGAGTTTTCTCAACAACACATGTGGGACCAGACCCCAGGGGTGTTATTTTCGACGAATTTTGCACCGAAACTGTCTCATTTTGCCTGATGTTTTGCATCTTTTCTTGTTTTTCTTTTTGTGTGAGATAGATGTGTGTTTTTTAGGGTACGTCATGTTTCTTGTTTTCAGAACTTTTCACATGTTCAAATCATTTAAAAAAAAAAAAATTGGCATTTCTTTGAACTTCTTTGGACACTTTTTTTT